TCAGAGCTGAAATGAACTCCATTTTTTAACTGACTCTGTGGTTTTCTTGGAGGATTTGCTACCTAGATCTCCTCTATTGTCTGGAATAACATGACTGAAACAGAACAAGAAAAGTAATAATACTAGAATTAGCTTGTGCTAGGTCATGGATTGACCCAGTATCCAAGAGTAGATCTGCTCAGGAGTTTAAGAAAATCATTTTCCTTTGCTGTTTTGTAACAACACTTGCACTTATCTACCCCCTATTATTAGATTCAGTTCAAATTAGTAACTTAGGCATAAGTTACTCCAAAAAGCAGTGCAGCCTGTCTTTTTAAACTTCTTGCTCCTAAATCTTTTTAAACTAACTCGAATAGGAGTATATCACCTTATGTTATAATTTCAGGGTGCGATGGGTCCTTTTTCTTAGCTCTATTAGGTCAGCCTTTCTGTTATGAAGACAGGGTTTTGAAGTAGGTAAAACTTTGTCTACCAGGGCTTTCTGTGCATGAGTGGAGCTGCCATTCTTCCAATATTACTTATGACAAAAACAATTTAAGGCTCAAGTCTCAGTAGCTTAGAATCATTGTTAAGGTTGTTTGGTTTTTTTTCCTCTATATGAATTATTTTATCTGTAAAACAAGGAGAATGCCAAACAACAATTTTGAGGGTTAGCTGAGGCATTTTGGGCTTGATGTGGAAATGCAGGGTCTTGTAGGTCCTACTGAAATTATCCCAAAAGCAGGTGTCACTTCTTGGCTGGTGTCTCTGTCCAAAGAAAGGATGTGGGTACCACCTGCAGAGTTTGGATTCACTCAGTCACTTATATCATGATCCAGCAAAGCTCATCCCTGCTTCTAAGCAGAAATAGTTTTCCAGTAGTCTGCAGGATTCAAATGCTGGAATTTAGGAAGAAATGTAAATATCTTGTTGAAAAAGAGACAAGGAAAAAAAATAATCTTCCTATATTCTGATAATAATGCACTTGCTACAGAACCTATTCCTACACACATGATGAATCATTTCAGGGGAACACTTGGCTGTTGAAATAATTCTGGTTAACTAAAAACTATTATTAGTGACAATCATATTGGAGAAAGAAGTAATTTTGACAAAATGAAAAAACATGGATTATGAGATGTTATAACTGCTGAAAAAGCTATTTTCTATCAAGGGAGACAACAGAACATATTATCCAAAAAAAGCAAAAAAAAGCACCTGAATATTTGACTAGGTGAATCTCTCAGGGCTGTTTTTCAGAAGGTGGCTTTGTCATGCTGATCTGAGAGGTAATGATGAGACGTTTGAATGGATGTTTGACATCCGTAACTAGTTTAAAAATTACTACCTGTCACTATGTAAGTTATTTTGAACATTTTTCCCATTAAATAATTAGTCTTGTAGAATTATAAGGAGTTCACAATCATATTATATTATTGAAAACCTGTGTGCAGTTCTTAATTACTATATTATGCTTTTTAAGTCTGAGAACCTGAAGAATTTTATAGACTTGGGCTGGTAAATCCATAAAACATTCTTCTTAGTCATTCTTTGGGGAAACCAAACAGCAACTGCCTCTGATCTGAGTTGCAGTGACTCGGTTGGGACACAGGAGTTTGAACACTGACTCAGACAGTAATTGCTGGCCTCTTTCTTCAGCCTGCAAGTGGTAGGGATGCTGGTCTTGCTGTATGTGTGAGAAAGAGGAGCCTGGCAGCAGAGGTGTGTTAGCGTGCTGGGACACGGGCTCATTCCTGAGGGATGTGGCTGTGGATGTCCCCAGAGAGCCCCAGGTCTTGCTTTGCGTGGGAGGTCTGACAAGATAAAGCACAGAGTGGTACAGCTTCAGGCATTGCTCTAATATATATTCTATTTCTGTAAGATCAGATTGGTTCTAGCACAGCAATCCCTCTGGCTGGGCCCAGCTCACCCCATGTTTCTGTGTGTTCTGTCTCAGTCTCGTGCCCAAGAGGATTTCTCATTTCAGGGAGGATCAATACATTCAGTTGACATTTTTAGCTCTCTGCCTTTCTTCCCCCTCCAAAGACACCAGTGAATAGATCATTATTGTGTAGAATTTAGGGGACTTTTTCTTCTTTTCTCTATTTATTTCTTCTTCTTTTAAATACAAAGAATCAGAGAACCAAATTTTGAGCATTTTAGCTTGAGTTTATACCTTGCTTACTTGTTCCCTTGAAATTAAGACTTTATGAGGAAGTGATTTGTTTCTTCCCCACCCTCTGCTGTGATTTAGGACGCTTACTATTCTAATGCTCGAATTTGGTATGACTGAAGGTATCTTTAAACACAGGCAGTCACAATGGAAACACCTGGACATGACTTCCCATGAGGTGTAGCCTGAGCATAATTTGTTATTTGTTTCCTTCCTACTGCATTCTAAAGTTTATTTTTTTCAAGTAATTGAAAAAATCTGTAAGAGAGGAGAGCCAGGGCACCCTCCTAACCACTGGAGAGCTGAAAGTGCTTCCAGCTGGCAATTTGCCTCCATTGGCTCTAGGTTGATGATGGGCTTGCAAAACCTAGTTTGGAACGCAACTTCTAACCAACAGGAGGTGGGTTCCCCTGGTGATTGTACTGTGTCAATTCTGAAATGGAAGTACTGGTCAGGTTTGAGTGAAATACACTTACTCAACAGTAATTTTTGTATCATCCAGTTAACTAGTTCACTGTGCATTGCCAATGGCCTATTAGCTTCTCCATAGATTGAAGAAGGGGAGGTACATGTACAGCATGGATGTTTTTACAATTATTTTATTGTACCCTTCAACTTGGAATATTTGTGCCTAACATTCTGGAAATGAATAACTTCACAGTGAGTAGGGCTGTATCCAACCACAGCACTCCTTGTACGTTCACTAAAACTTCGATCTCCCTAACAGAAGTGTTGATACCTGCTGCGACTGGGACCTGTGGCATCAGCAGGGAAGTACAACTCAACATGTATTTCATTTGTTTCAAGTGTGAAAATTTCCGGGCTAGTAAGGATGTATACCACAGCAGCTCCCTGTCAGACATGGTGACGACACCACTCAGCCCCATGAAGGATGATGTGTTCTGGAGTGTGGGTCAAAACGAAGAGCAACCCCCAAAGGTACGTGAAGCTCGGGGTGTTGGGCGCTGTCAGGGCTCAGTTTTGTTGTATTTGTGTAGTGTCCATCCTGTGGGCTTCAAGAAACTCACTGAAAATCTCATTCCTTGTACATCAACTGGGTCCCAGTAATCCAGAGGGAAGACACTAATAAGGAGGTCAGTGTTCTGAGTTTTAGGTAGAAGTATGTAATACCTGAGGGATCTGCAAAGGCAGGTACACGTCGTTCCTTAGACCAAGTGTGTGTAGCTGCCCTTTCTGGGAAAAATCTGGCTTGTTCCAGAAAAGCTCTCTGGTTTGTATAGTTCAGATTATGGTGTATTTCTCTTTTTAACAGATTTTCAAAGTACAAGTGTATTTGTGTGGGGATGCCTGTGTGTGTGCACGTGTGTATTCATTTGATTACTTGGCAGTGGGGGATGTGTGTGTGTCTCTCTCTTTCCCCAGCCCTTTGGTAGCAACAGAAGGTAATCCGCCACCCAGGGAAAGCTGCATTAAGTGACTGCAGATGCATTTCCCTGTCTGCTTTAAATATCAACCAAGAATAATGCTGACACTTAAGGAAGGTGCAAACTGCTTGCAGTCTGATAGATTACATGGGCTTGGAGCAAATTGGAAGCATCTGCTGCTGACTTGCAGCTTCCAGTGTTGATACCATAGAAGACCTCTCCACGGGTCCCACTGAAGCATTATTCATTTATGTTGGTTAGCCTTATTTTTGCATTGATATAGGGTAACTTTTAGCTTTATTAACTGAGTCTAAAATACCAATAACAACCTGAAAACATTTGATTAAATCTCAAAGGTTCCAGAAAGGACAACCTCTAAATTTTACAGCAGGGATCAGCCTGGCCATCAGAGGTGCCTTTCAAGGTAAGCTCTAAAGTGTTTTATGCTTATACAAATGCTGATTTAGTGTTGATAGGGAAACAAAAGCAAATTTATTAAAAACAAAACCATAGCCTCAGTAACATCAAAACTGACATGGGTTGATACCTCATTTAGTAGCCATTACAGTTGTCTTTTGTCTCAGTTTGTCCACAAAAATAACTAACCAAACTTCCTGATCTTAAACCTGAAGGAAGTGTCCAAGCCAGCTTCGTTTAAGTGATTGACATAACTGATGTAAAGGGAAATAAGTCTCTCATACATCTCCTTCCCTTTTTCATGCAAGGTAGTTCTCTCTGCTGCTGAAAAGTAGTATTTTTAATATGTAAGGACTATTCCATCTGTAATAATTCCTCCAATAAGTTGTTCCATTTGGTCCAGCCTGCTGGCATGCCTGAGTGGGTCTCTTACAAGCTGTACATCTGTTTCCCAGTTAACAGGCAGCACGTTGTGCAGTTATTTAACTTCTTGTGAGTTGGTGATGCTTTGCTTTCCTTTCACGTTGGAGTAAGTGGCTGGTAAAGGTGAAGGTTACTTCAGGTCATAGCCTCTCAATGCTGATGGTGGCAGGTGGGGGTGGTGCTGGTCAGGGCTGCCTGAGTGCTATTGCACAAGCTCTGTGTCAGTGCTGGTGCCTTTGGTTCCAAAGGGGAGTTTGGTGCCTGGGTAATTTGGTGAGTGTGGGTCTGTCCCCAGCTCACAGTATAGGCACTTATAGCTTGTGATATAGCTTTTTTTGCCCTGTAGCAGCTTAAACAGTCTCTCTGAAGATGTGTCTTGACTATTGTGGCACTCTGCCCTTAAAGCTAGTGTACTATTTTAGTATCCCAGTAGAAAAAAATGAGGATGCAGAGAGCTCAGTGGTAAAGGGTAGGCCCCCTGGATGTCTAATCAGGGAACATAATGCTGTGAGAAACTACAGTTGGAGAGGTTGGAAGGGGAAGTAGATTCAGCTGACATAACAAAATAATGTGCAGCACATCCAATGAGCCAGAGGCAGAAACATCTGCAATAACTTAGGAATTAGAGGAGGCAAAGCAGAAAGGAAACATGTAAGTAAACCAGAGTGTTACAAGTGAGTGGCTTCTGAGCCTGGATTTCTGGGTGAGCTGCTGTCCTACTTCACAAGCTTAGCAGTTTGTTTTACTGCTCAATGTATTCCTTTCTGCATTGATAAGTGGGTGATGATGTGTCTTTTAGGAGGGAACTGGGGCAGGTTTCATTGTTTGTAAAAGTCATGAGATTTTTAGAATTGGGAGGGACACATGCCTGAACAGGCCAAGAGAGAAGTACATGTAGCAGGATATTTTGTAATGGGTTGGGATTCTCTCTAGTCTTCAAGAATAACTGCCCAGAGGAAACTGTCCTGTCCATCATCTTCTCTCATTACTGGGTGGCCCCACTTGGAGCAGCAATGAATAATAACATTTTTGTATATCAGGACTATTTTATCACACATGAACAGAAGGGAGATCGATACAGTGGCCTGGGAGGTCCATTCCATCCTGCATGTTCCTGCATGCAGGATAGTCTGATCTGTGTTTTCTCCTTCTCTTTAGTAGCACTCATCAGTCCTCCCCCGGGGGACATGCTCTGAAGCTGAACAGCAGCAGCAGCACTCCTGGCAGCAAGCAGTGGGAGATGGGATCTCATCAGAGCAGCTGGTCAACCTCAGGTGATTCCTAAGTCAAAGATTCATCAGTCAAAATGTGCAAAATTCCTATCGCTTGAAACAGACTCATGCAGAGTGTCAAGTTCTGCATTGAAAATGGGATATTTTTTTTAACAATGTCATCTGGTGATTGGCTTTTGAAAGCCCTCTGGGTTTGCAGTTCTGTGTTCGTAAAATATCAACACTTCCTCTTTTGAGACCAAAAGGCATCATAGACGTATTTTCATATAGAAAATTTGAACTGCCTCAAGATTTGGAAAAAAAATAAAATCAGTTCTGTTTCACACCATTGAAAGTCTGCAGAGCCAACATTTCAGACACACAGCTGTAATTCAATACTGATGTTCACCCATTGGCATTTTCTGCATAACCATGTGCTGCTTTTTTGCGTTGCCCACTGAGAAGGTGACCCAGAGGAGCAGTTGCTCTACACTGTTTCTGCACTCTAATAATGTACTGGCTGAAGGAAGCACAAGACTTTCTCTACAGCACCTTATGAAACATTCCTCCAATTTTCTTTTCTTTGCAGAAAGATAGTGGAACTGAAAAGGCAAAATAAGTTAAAAGGTAGAAGTATTCTCATGCAGTTTAAGCCGAGTGCAACTTTGTGAGCTGTCTTGTTACCACTGGTAGTGATGTAGGAACACAGGGGACTTCCTCATGGTTGTGCAGATTTTTGGCAGTACAGGGATTCTGGCAGATGGGGACATGGAGCAGAAGTGAACAGCTTTGTTCCTCTGTTGTTGTTCCTAGGGGTGTTTTCTGCAGGTCAGCTTAGGGCAGTTTCTTTGTAGCTGCTGGCAAAGCAGTGGTGAGTGGTGTGATACAATGCCTTGCGTCCGGGTTGACTGCTAGAGATGGAGGACATGAGGATTAACACCCAATTCAAAGCTGGGTGGATGCTAAAGCTGTTTTGAAACCACACCAGTGAGCTGCTGAGGTAATTTATTTTTAAACTGATCTTACATTGTTCGTTCGCAAGCCCTTGATAATTGAAGAGCAAATTGCTTAGCTATTACACTAGCACAATCAGTCCAGTTTTACTTTGACTAACTACACAGAGTAGGAGATTTTGCTTCAGGAGAAATCCAAAGCACACTTTAAACTGCTTGGGGTTTGTTTCTTTTTGCTCTTATGTTGTTTTATGTTTTAATAACAGTGTAGAGATGAACAATGTACAACAGCCCAGCTCAACTTTGCAGTATCTGCATGATGTGTAACTCCTGTGCTATTTTGGCATGGGGAAACAAAACCTCACCAGCAATGGAAAGAATAGAAAACCTCCCTTGTGGTTTAAGCTGTCTCTCTGAATTCTTAAGTGTCATTAAATTACAGCCAGTTTTGGCATATGTTGTTCCAGAAAGAGTTTGTTGCTTTCTCAAACCCACAGGGATAATGAATTGGGCAGGAAAGAGCTATAAATTCTGTAAAGCCAATACTTCTGCTGAGTCGCTTAGGTACTCATTGACCAATAAGGAATTCTGAATTTTAAAAGCTTTGCAAAATGCATGAATATGTGAAGCTGTTCTGATATAACTATGCAGATTACCAAATACAAATCCTAATTTGTGTGAGCTTAACTTCTTTCCCTTTAATTTGCCAAGAGTCCTGTAGGTAGCTGTGGGATAGTCAGGGGAGAAATTGCTGAGCGAGGTAGACATGGAGCTATCTGATGTGTCCCAGGGACAGGGTGAGGGCACATGGGCTTTCTTTCCCTTCACTTGTGTCAGGAATGGTGTGCAGAAGACAGCATCTCTCCAAGGCTGCTTTTGCTATTTCCAGGTTGCTCTGTGGGCAGTGGGGGCACTGAAAGGGAAGATTTGCTTAATTACTTGCAAGCATCTCTCCTAAGATGGCGTCAGCACATGCTGATGAACTCCAGCTCCTCTAGCCTTGTTTGCCTGGGTATTCAGTAGCTGTGCAAGTGTGGTCGTGCCGCAGCTTCCTTGCTACCCTTGCCTGACCTTGGGCAGTGTCATGAGGTGCCACCTGATGCTGAGTTGGCCTGTGGCAGGGGCCAGCTCTCTGCACAAACATGCGGGCTGTTATTACCTGCCTCGGCGCAGAGTGGAGGTGGGAACTGGGAAGTGACACTCTGTGTTCCAAAGGAAGCAAGGACTTAAAAAATGGTTTTCCTGGTGCTAGTATGGGAAGTGGTGAATCCTCTTCTGCTTCTAGCTTGATCCCATGCTCATGGGTGGAGTTTAGTGCAGCTGTTTGCTCCCAGTCCAGTTGGGTTTTGAAAACAAGACTCTTTAGACTGTTTCTGTGTAACCATTTTATGAAGGCCAAGTCTTGGCACCACATCTGTTTGCTTGTGACAGTGTGCACTGGGGGGCCAGGCTCCTGCACCTTCTCCCTGACCCCTTCTGTCTGCAGTCACAGGAATATAGATGGGTGGCACCTCTGGTGCTGGAGTATGAGCAGCAGTTGCTGGTATGATGAGCTGCCTCCCCTCATGAAGATGGGAGGAAGGGATTAGCCATCACCCTTTTCTCTTCCAAGCTGCCTTCCAGTCTGTGAAACTGCTGCTGCTGTGCAGAGGGAGTATGTTGCCACTGTCTTGCTGTACCTGTCTTAACTCTTGTAGTGTTAAACTGCACCAGTTTCAATTTCTATACATAATATTGCAGTATCCAGAGCAACTGGGAAATGAGCAAATTATTTCCCTCTGCAACAAAGAGAAAGAATAAGCCTGTCAGCAGAGACTGGTGTCTGCTTTGGGTGGTGACTATATATGCTTGTCTTACTGGTCCCCTCTCTCTGCTGCATGTGCATGTAAACAAAGGAAACGTTTTTTTTTCCTTTCCAGGGAACCCAGGACAAGCCAAGGCAGAGAACGTTTTGTCCCAGAACCACTTGCAGCTGCATAAGAAGTCTGAAAAAGTTTCTCATCCAGGCCAGATTGCAGTAGGTTTTTTAAATCCACTAATATCTTTGGTTTGTTCATGGTTTTCTCTCAGACAGCTCCTTTTGGTGCTTGAGTTTGCAAGCTCATTAGTCCACCTGAGAGCCTGCATGGGGTTGGGTTGGGCTTACTGCTGCCTTAATGCTTCTCCTCAGCTTTTAGCCCAGCTCTGATTTGTGTCCAGCTCAGGTCATTTGCAGAGAGTTCAGTTTTCCTGAACCTGTCTGATCTTAACTCTGTAGAAAAGGAAGGGTATGCCATTAATATTTCAGGAAGTCAGTGGATCAATTGTCAGGCAACCCCAAAGTCAAGACCCTGTGCTGGTGGCCTGTGCAAATATAGGAAAACCAGGTTGCTTTGGCTTAGGTCACTTTCCTGTGTGAAACACCCACTTGTGATGCACTGACAACTTCCTAATAAGCTTTTTGGTGTGGAACTGACAGTAACTGTATTTGCTAGGACAGTAAGATACTGCACAAGCTGTTTAACAATGGGTTCTGCAATGAGAAAATGCATCATTTGAGTTCTCTTTGCTCAGAGTCCAGGCTCCTTTGCCAAGGGGAAGGATGGTGCAAACTTACTCCTAAAAGCAGCAGACTATTCCTCATCAAGTGATGAAGTCAGCAGCAGCGATGAAGATGACATGAACCACGCAAGGTTGGCCTGATTATTTTATTATTTGTATTATTTTCTTCCTTTGCATTACACAATTCTAAGCAGCCAGAAAAAGTTGGCATACTTAGCTACTACCTCCCCTCCAAAGTTACTATCAGTCATTTATGTCAGTTGTAATTAAGCAGTTTAATGGTGCTATAATGAACTCCCGGGGGTAAATGTTTGCTCCATCAGTGCAGTGTAATAAGCTTTAATGACTTGCTGCCCTGGGTCAATGAGGAAATGACTTATTTAACTGAATATCAATAGGTACTGCTTTTATAGAGATTATATCATTCTGATCTATGTTTAAATGGAATTTTTGAAAAATGGGGAGGGAAAGAAAACTGTCCACCTTTGGGATCCTACAGGTTACAGTGAAAAAAAGCAAGGGAAGTATGACCCTTGTATTCAGATTGTCTGTTCACTCTGGGAGAAGTAATTACCCCTGAGAAGCTGGTCCCTTCACCAAGACTGGTTATAAAGAGGGGACAGTCTAAGCAGGATTTTTTTTGGTAAAATTTGCTGTGTTTTCCATATTCTGCACAGTTGCTGTGGTTGCCAGATGATGCTGTGCCTTGTACCTAGCTGATTTCACCTCAGCTGTTTCTCTCGAGATTTCCAGTTTCTCATGTTGATTTTGTGACTGACATCTTGTGGTGTTTTACCTGTCATGCAAAATGTATATTCTGCTGGGAAATAATGGAGTGTGAATAGCAGGCTAGTCCAACTGAAAGAGAGTCAGGGGATCAGTGGGCCAGTCCTACTGTTTGGAACAGCAAATGGAATTATTTTTTAGTATTGATAAATGAAACTGTTAATTTTCCTGCAAAGAGACTTCAGTTTAATTCAAGCTTTAGAATTTACTTTGAAGTGCATCACTGAGCCACAGAGATCTCTGGGATGAGGCTCTTGGTCTTCTGACATAATTGCATGTGCAGCTTTGTCAGCCTTCAGGAAGAGACATGCAGATTTGTAGCACTGTTGGCAAGCTATTGCATTGGCCTGATACCAGTCCTTTCCCCTGTGCTGCTCTGGAGAAGGTAGAGTTTTTGCACCTGCATATGCTCCTCATTTGCATTTCTGAAGTTCATCTACAAAGCTGAGGGATGAGGAGGAAGATTGTTAAAAATCTTGTTGCTTACTCAGTGCACCTGAAAGAGCTGTCTTTTTACTGTAATGGCATTATTTTCTTACTGCTCCTCTTCCAAACCACCTTATTCTGATCTGTACAAAGTTTTATTCACTCTAGGTCATAGAATTCATCCTAGACCTCAGAAAGACTCCACATAAAAATATGGATTTGCCCTGTAATAGTGACTTTGCTGTGTAAGTGTTAGATTGCTGTGATCCTTGCATGCTGTATTGATTTGAAGGAGTGGTATCACTGCCTTTGGAAATCTGCATGTGTTATTTGCATCTCCTTTGTGTGTGAGATCCACCAGTCCTCTAGAGAAGTGGAATGAGCAGGATGATCTGTGTCAGGCCTCTCTTCCTGTGCACACAGCCACTGCAAGAACTCCTGTGAAACCAAGAGTATAATCTTGTCTATTAACGAAGTCCCTTCACCTCAGATGAACACCATCTGTATTAAAAGTTGGATACTTTGGGAAATGTATCCTGATTGCTGCCAAGTAAATGGTAAAAAAGAGAGTGACCAAAGTGCAGCAGCAGCCAGCACTGAAGCTTTGCTTATTGTGGATAGAGTGAAGGCTTTAGTTTTATTTGCTATCTAAAGCAGGTGAATTCAGGGTCTGATGCCCATTGCAGTGTGAAGGAGTATTTCTGAGTGGGCTTTGGCTGAGATGTCTTGACCAAGTTTGAGTTTGCTATTGAAAACAATCTGTGGTTTCTTGCTCTTGCCTGGGCTGTGGAACAGCTTTTGATGTCTATGCTCCAGCTTTCTTGGAGGTGCCCAATAGGACAGACATGGGACTTGGAAGAGAAAGACCTTCATATTCTCTTGGACGAATCCTGTTAACCACCCTGAGAAGGCTCATTCCTGAGGAAGCCAGGACTGAGGGCAGCTGTCTTTCACCAGTAAAAGAAGTTCTGGTCTTGTTTTTCTTTCAGTGAGATGAACCAGAATTGTTCCTCATGCAAACCAGGTCTTTGTTTTAAGGAAGATGTCAGTGTATGTGATCCAGCATCCTACCTGCTTGAATAGCTTTTCTATTCCTTTGGTGCTAATTTCTTCTACTCTGTTGAGAGTCCTTCCTCCTCCAATGCCTGCAGCAGCCACAATCCCTCAAAAACACTCGGGTTTTATAGTTCCTCTTTTCTGCTCACTGCTGCTCCTTACCAAAATTTTAACAAGCTGGGTGCAAATGTGTGCTTGGCTAGGGATTAATTTCTCCCCCTAGTAGGTGGGATGTTGACATAATTTAAGAACAGCAACTCCTTGCTTTCCTGATAAGAATAGGTTCTTGCACTCACCTTCGCTTTGGTCCTTCTAAGTTTAGTATGCAGATTTTTACCCCTCCCATAGTAGGAGGGGAGGACCCAAAACCAAAACATGAAGAACAAAAGAAAGCCACAAAAACTTGTACTCCCTCACTAGCATCTTAAGTTGGTAGCTCTCTCACCAAACCTTTTTTGTTATAGGATTGGGCAACATTTTTAAAAACCCAGCAAAACACTCGTACGATCTATGGTGTAGCACTGGGGAGCCCTTCATACCAGCATCCCAAATCCAGTCACTTTTGTAATTACTGGAAAGAGGGCAGTAATGTAATAGGCTTAAATGGATTACAGTAATAAGGAAATTAATATAATAAAGTGGAATAAATAAATAATGTGAGGTGGAAATGCAGAAAAACAGGGCCAGAACCTGTCTGACAGAGGTTTGAGGCAGTTCCACTTGGATGAAAAAGTTAAAAATGCAAAGATACCACTGGTGGAAAGCAACAGTATGCTGGGGAACATCACAAGAGATACTTGCCTTATTCTTACTCTTTCTTTAGGTATCTGCTTTTGGTCACTGCTGAAGACAGGACGCTGGGCCAGGTGGGCTTTTGGCCCCAAGTCCAGCAGCTCTTACGTTCTTTTGTCTCTGTGCACTGGGCAACGTTTTTTTTGTTTCTTTGTATGTAAGGTGAGGATGTCCATGTTTCAGGGACTGATTGATAGTAGGAAATTCCAGCGTAGCCTGTCCCAGTAGGCACTGGCAGTGAGGTCCCTGATACCAGCACAGAGCAGAGCAGCAGCTCTTGCCCTTGCATGTGTGGCTAATGCTTTTTTTCTGGAGAGCAGCGTGGCTCATAATTGCCCCTCACAGGGCAGTGTAGAAGGGGAGACAGAAGGAGTTTTGAAGTAGGCACTTCTCAAATGACAGCTTGAGGGACCAGCTCTCTCTTGCCTGAGCTACACAGTGTCTGAAAAATGATGGGTGAAATCCAGGGGGATGAAGGGATGCTCCCTGTCAAGGTGGGGAGAGATTCATGCTGTGTGAGAGTCGTCCTCAGGCTTGAGTCCGTTCAGGCACATCCACAGACTAATCAGCTTGCTTTTTGTACAAGAACCTTTAAGTGTAACTAATGAATGTTAATCATGCTTACTTTTGAACATGTATACGTGAGGTTTTTTGGATTTTGGGCTCTTTTTTTCCTCTGAAGTAGTTCCGTTCATTAATCAGAGTTTGTTACCAGGCAACTGCTAAGCAGCAGAGTGGCAGATTTCTCAAGGACGAGAGTACCAGATGGAATTGAACTGAAACCCCAAAGCACCATTGCAGAACAGAAGGTAATTTGATCATTTGTTAGGGGGTGGGGAGTCAGATCTTTAATGTGCAGGATAAACACTGTATCCATTTCTTCTCGGCAGCATTTTCAATCTGAAGTCCTGCTCTGTCACTGCAAATTATAGCTGTAAGCCTTGAAAAATTGCGTGGTTTCAGGTTTTGTGCTTCCTATAAAAATGCTTACACTTCTGTCTCTGCATTTTGTGCCATTGAGAGTTTTTGTGCTGCCTCATGCCTTGCATAGCTTCCAAGTATTTTCTTGAAGCTGGTGGGATCCTGAAGGAGGTCTGCAGTACCAGACATTATGGTTCTGGAAGTGCTGATACTGGTTCCTACTCAGTGTCATCATTCTAGAATAAGGCTTCCTAATTCTGTGAATGGAAAGTAGCAATGAAATTAATGGAAGGGAGCTTTGAAGTAAATGCATGCCCAGACCCATGCCTCTAACATTAGGATGAGTGGTATGATTCTGTCTCAAGTGTCTGAGCATGAAGTTGCTTCTTTAACTGTGGTTGAGATAACATAGATGAGGAACGTTTGTGGAGCACTTCAGGAGTGCAAGCCAGTCCCAATTAACAGGAGTTGCATAGTACCTTGAGAATATGCTGAATGTGGAGTTTAACTGTATGTTCTCATGTGCAGGAGCAGATTTTAGGGAAGCAAATTTCTAGCACCCAAGAAGGCCTCTGGAGCATAAACAACCACAACTATCTCCTGCCAGATCTCCTCCAGCAAAGCCAAATTTCAGACTCCTCTGTGAACCCACCAAAAGTGCCACTGGCTAGCCAGGAACCTCAGAACAAACCTCTGCATAAGGTAAGTGATAAATTACAGATTTAATTAATTGTACCATAATTTTCATCCAGCCCTTAGGAGCCTGAGATTGGGAGTCTTTTAACTTCTTCTATCCTGTCTCTTTTTATGGTGCGATTTTTCACTACATCACTTCTTTTCTTTTAGAAGTTTTATCTAGGGGATGAATAAGAAATCCTGAGCTCTCTGATGGATTTTATTGTTCCACTTGTTTGCCCCATCTCTCTCTCTGCTCCCTTTTCATCCCTTCCTTTTTTTCTCCCCTTTTACAAAGCTAGAAAGCCTCCTTTACCTGTCATGTCAACAGCACAGTTCTCTCATCTGCCTCTGCTGATTGTCCCTGACTTTCAGCTGGGAGCACACAGGGGCCAGGGCAGCATGTCTTGGCAGCCCCAGAGGGACTGTCACACCACTATGGGCACAGGGGTCTTTTGGGGAGAAGGCTGATAAGAGCTCTGTCAGGGGTCACGTCCTAAACTGCCTTGCTTGATGCAACAGTGTCCTCCTTGCTGCAGAGACTTGAGCAATGCCCTGCTGCAGACAAGGCAGCAGGGACTGATGGACATACTCTTCTTCTGGGGACTGTTCATATCAGTGCAACAATTCCCTGTTCAGGCCTCCTCTTCTGTCACTGAATTTGTACCATGTATCTACTGCTTTAAGACCATTCATCATGTCCCAGTGTGCCACATGCCATTTCTTCTGAGCTTCAGAGACACCACACTGTTGTGTGCTGTCTTCTCCCCTGGCATCATCTTCCTGAAGCTGCTCTTGTTTTCCCTTGTAGAGCCCGTGCACTGAAAGCCCACCTTCAAAGAGCAGTACATCATCCACAACATCGTTCACTTCATTCATAGATCCCAGACTTCTGCCAATCACCCCTCCCACCAGTCCAGTAGGACCTTCCTGTAGTTCTTGTGAGTATGCTTTGCCCTTCTCATAACATGTCACTCTGGGTTTTATGGAGTTTTTGTCTGGGACTGGGGAGGGCCTATTGCTTGCAAACAGAAAGTATCAGTGACAACTCTAGAAAGTGAAACTCCACATCACTAAGAATTTTCATTGTACTGCTTCTGCTCCTCTTCCAGAAGCAGCTTGCTCTACTGTACTGTGTTGTCAGTGCTTACTCAGGAATGCCTGAGGAATTTTCCAGATATATGTTGGGTTTTTTTGCTGTGGCTTTGAAGTGCTCCTAAGATGTTTTCTTACCCCTCTGGGGTTTGTTTCATTCTGCCATAAATAGGTCAAATGTGAGATGTAGCCAAACACATTTTTCATTCTTTTGAATCTCTTTCATTGTAGCATCTAGTGCAAAACCTGAACCTGTAAGGAGAGAAAATGCAAGGAAGGGCTCTGTTGTCAATGTCAACCCAACGAACATCCGCCCACAGAGTGACAGCCCAGAAATTCGTAAATACAAGAAGAAATTCAACTCAGAGGTGCTGTGTGCTGCTTTGTGGGGTAAGCTTGGAAGCACTTGGGCATGTGTATGGAGGGCGGGCAGCAGCAGGAGAGGTTGGCAGTGTATGCCAGGCAGATTCTACAGTTGTATTGCATCTCTCCTGTCAGAAAGTCCTGGATTGGATCACTGAGCAGGTACCTGCGTCACCCACATGATGCTGCCTTCCCACTGGAAGATGCAAACAGATGAGTTGTTGTTGCAAAGGATTTTGTGCATCAGAATGAGAAAACGTTTTGGTTGGGTACCAAATTGAAACTGTGTTTGTTGGAAGAGCTGAGAGTTGCAAATGTTTTAGTAACTTAAGCAGCTTATGATACTTAGTCTTGTCTGAGCTGCATACAAGTACAACTGATCACTTACCTGGTGGAAATAATCCAAACATGAAACTTTTGCTGTCAGGTATGTTAGCTGTGCCAAGAATCTGAATCAGGTCAGTCATTCCGAAAGCTTGGCTTGTTTAGTTCCTGTAGTAAGTGCTGTCTCACACCCTCACTGCTCCCCCTTTTTATAGGATCAGCTTCACATAGTGTAAAACCAGGATGAGTGTCGTCAGACTAGTTTTCAACAACTGTAGACCTTGTCCCAGTCTCACTCCAGCTGTTTTACCCCTCTTTCCACTTCAGAAGAACAGACGTAGTCTATGGAACTCATCCAGCCTTTTACTTCTCTTCGCTTTTTGAGTTTGTAATGCAAAATGAATGAAGCAGATGAAATATCATCCAAAGGAAATGTAGATTTCCACTTTATAGCTTCACAGACTTTGTGTAATGTATGTTTCTAGGAGTCCAAGATTTTAAATTAAGAACAGAGCTGTGTGGCAAGGTCTGTAATTAAAAGTGTGTTGGGCCTGAAAAGCACCAGGTACTCTTCGGGGTGTTGCCATTAGAGGAGGTTGCTTGTTACAGCAGAATACCTTGTGTAATTTCTTTAGTACCTGCTGGTTAGGAAGTATAGCTGTCATGCCAGCTGAACACAATTTTTTACATTCTCTGATGTCAGCAACCCACTGGAGCCTTTGCTTCCTAGGGAGCACTTGGATTTCAAGATGGATTGACTCCTGTAATTTAGCATTTGAAAGCATCCTTGCGAAACACAGGCAGTTTTCAAACAAACAACCTTCCTCCTTCCTATAAGAGCAGCCCTTCTTCCCACAAGTTTAGTCCTCCTGGGATTTGAGTGCTATATTTGGGAAAAGGGGGAATTTATTATTATTTATTTTTTTTAATTGGTAGAGACCCTTAGATCATTTAGTTGAATCTCTTTGTGTTCCCAGTGGAGTGGAGCAGCACTCGGACTTTTGCAGTGCTCACAGGCACTTTTCAAGATCACCTGAGACATTTGAGTTAGCAAAACCTTTTTCCTCTTTGTTTGAATCAACATTGACTCCCGTGGCACTACTCATCCTTCAAGTTACATGGGCATATAAGTATTCTGGTGGGTAAAAACTGTAATGGTGAGACCCTCTTGTTTCTATTTATTTTTCTGGGAGGTCATCCACAGAGCAGCAGAGAAATTTTCAGGTACCATCAAGTGAGACTAAATAAGAATCAGGTCATGGAACAATGAACACTCAGTGGCCTCTGAATTATGAGGTAATTTATGTAGATTTTTTTTTTTTTTTTTGGTGTATAAACAGGAGTAAATTTACTGGTGGGAACAGAGAATGGATTGTGGCTGCTGGACAGAAGTGGGCAAGGAAGAGTTTATTCACTGATTACAAGGAGACGATTCCAGCAAATGGATGTTCTGGAAGGACTAAATGTGCTAATTACTATTTCAGGTTAGTTCAGTGTCTAAAAGTATCTGACCTGCATTGGGGTTGGAAGCAATTAAAATAAGAAGAATTGGGTTACAAACTAGGTTGAGGCATTTCCTCTTAGAGAAAATCACAGGACAGTTATTCTTGTTAATAGGAAAACTCTCTTTAATTTTAAACATTTATATTATCATTTCAGAGCAGCTCTGGGATATTTCATTACCGGGTTAATGTATAAAATGGTTTGTGGGAATTATAAAATATTTCCTATCCTTTAAATGAACTCGTTCTCAGGAAATTAAGTTTGTCAATCTCTTTGCTTTTTTCAGTGATGAGTGAGCATCTGTCTAGGGGAAATTCTATTAAAATATCATTAAATAACCTCATTCTGTGCTCAACAAGATGTATGAGCAGTAACATGAGCGTGAGCTGTACTGTGAAAGCATCAGGAACATCAAATAGTGTCTTCCACTTCTGCTGTCAAGCAGCTCAGACGCTGCCTTACCAGGTCCTGAGGCTCTTATACCCCATGGATGAGAGCAGCCTCAAAGGATGCTCAGTAAATAAGCAGGTCAGAGATGTAGCTCCAGCAAGGAATAGCAGCTCCTTTTCTCCCATCCAAACGCACTGTGGCAAGTGATGGTACGACCTGTTTGTCCCATATTGCCAGGTCCAGTTTCTTGTGTATTAGTTTTTCCCTTCTAGACTAACCTGAGATCTCAGACTGCTGCTGCCTGTCTGTACTTATGAACTAAAGCAACAGAAAGACTGACTGAGATGAGAGATGATAAAGTGACTCTCACCTGCAAAGGCATTCAAAGGAAAACAGCTACTTGTAATTAAGATTGTCAGTTAATTAGAACTAAATGAGTCATTTATACAAAATAGCTGTTGTAGGCTATACCTGTGTTCCTCCCTTCACATCAAAGAGTAAACGCCAGGTACTATGATTATTTCTGATAGTACAGGTCTGCAGAGACCTGTTCTTTGGCCTGAGGGAAGAATTTTAGTCAGGTGTGAAAATCTTACGTGACGCTTGAGTCAGAAGGTGAGTGCACACGTACCAGATGCCAAAGGATTTTTGCTCATGTTCCAGTTCCCCCTGCATGTCACCATCACACAGGGTTTTTCTTTCATGCCCCTGGGCTCTTTTTTCACCTTGACGAGGCACAAAGACTCACTGTGCTCAAGGTCACAAAACTCTGGCTTTTTCTAAGTGCGGGAGAGTCTGTACTTGAGTAAGTTAAAGCATTATATTTATCTTTTTTTCCAAATCCCAGGGAAGAAGAATAAGTTGAGGGTATATTACTTATCATGGCTGAGAAACAAAATACTGCGCAATGACCCGGAGGTGGAGAAGCGGCAGGGCTGGGTGTCCGTGGGAGACCTGGAGGGCTGCGTACACTACAAAGTTGGTGAGGACTTTGTTTTTCCCTTGAGAGCTGCTTAATCATCCTTCTGCATCTTGTGTCACCAGCAGTTTATTTCAGCTCCGTTTTGGGATTGTACTGGGCTGAATGTCTCTGCGTTCTTTCCAACCTCTTTGTTTTACATAGCAGGTGCTTTGCTCCCTGACATCCCACGTGGCATCCCTTCTTCCACTTCAGTTGCTCATCTTTGGGTTTGGTGTGGTTTTGGTGTGGATTTTGGTGTGTTTTTTTTTAAATAGAATTCTCCTAAAATTAGGCAAACATTTGGTAGGAGCTTCTGTGTTCACATAAGAAAAGCCACTCAGCTGCTGTTTTTCTTTTGGTGAATCTTCTTTTGTCTCAACCTTTGGTTTTACAGCCATTTGTCCAGGTACAACAGGATGTGCTACTCTGCATTTAAGTGGAGTCTGGGCTTTTTTCCTTTGCCTTTGTGAGATTTTCCTGACCAGTGTCTATCCTTATCCCCTCTTCCTGCCTCTACTGTATGTTTGGCCAGTGTGAGCTGCTCCTTTTGTAACAGCAGGGGTTGTTCAAGCCCTCTTCCCACTTTGGTAACATCTGCATCTTGTAAAAACCCCTGCCAAGCAGACACTGAATATGAAATGAAGGGTGAATACATTGGAATGTAATACCCGAACGTTCTGTTTCCAAAGCAAATGCGTGTATTTGGCAGAGAGAAAATACAATGTACAAAGAAGCCTTTATTTTCAATGCATGATTCTTCATTTATTCTCAGTGGGCCCAACAGAAGCTTAATCAGCTTAGAGAAACTGCTCATCTGTTAAATGCTTGCTCACCTCAGAAACATGGGAGTCCTGCGCCCACACTAGCACCTGGGGATTTAACCTACACATGGACAGTGAAATGAAAATTCATCATGCAGAACATAACAGACTCGCTCAGACAACAACCACCATTCATCCAAAAGCAGCTTATTCACAGCCAGCCATGTTGGTGTGTTGTTCCCACTTAAAAAATAAAGTAGGTTGGCTTTGCTAATGGGCCAAGACCTTTTTTTCAAACTAGTAAGTTTTTCTAAATATTTTTTTTATTTTATACATATATGAAAAGTAATATAGAAATGTTGTCAACAGTCATCTGGCTTTACTGGAAATAAATGAACTCCAGGTTTTCAGTCAAGATATTGCTACTGGTGATATTAAACATTGATGTCTAGGAACCATTAGTCTCCCTTGCTGGATAACGTCTGCCTTTACAAGCATGGACATTATTTCATGTGATGAAATGGTCTTTGATTTAAATGTCTGTCTGGTATCTAAGGAATTGTTCTTCTTGTATTACAGTAAAATATGAGAGAATCAAATTCCTTGTAATTGCTTTGAAAAACTCAGTGGAGGTTTATGCTTGGGCTCCAAAGCCTTATCACAAATTCATGGCTTTTAAGGTAAGTGAAACTTCACTTTGATTCAGATGTATCTCTGTCTCTCACTGTCTCTCATCTACTCTTTGCTTTTTGTTGCTTTGTCTAACATTTATTTCTAGTTAAAGATAAAATAAGTATTCTCTTAAAGAAAATGTAGCTCCTTTGACATAACATTGGAGGTAGCAGACACGAAACTGTCACAGTTGTGATTCTGTTAGATGTAACTTGTTCCAGTGCTGTGCCAAAATGTACATTTTACATCAAAAAGTTGATGCTGAATTTCCTCAGAAGAGGAGGAATTTGAACATGAATGGTACTTCAGCTTAATTTCTGCCTAGTATGTTTCTAGAATCTGGATTTTTTTCAAAACACAAGTGAATTATCCAGCTCTCCTTCCAGCTCAGTGGGTGATGGATTCTCTGCTCCTTAAATGTAACCTACTATTTAACAAAAAATAGCTAACTTTTGAGTTTGGGTAATTCTTAAGATCATAAATATAGACCTGTAACCCAACAGCTTTATTGTGTTATATAGTGTATTTTTCTTTTTCCAGTCCTTTACCTCACTTCATCACAAGCCACTGTCAGTAGACCTGACCGTAGAGAATGGACAAAGATTAAAAGTCATATATGGCTCATTGGTGGGCTTTCATGCTATTGATGTGGACTCTGGATCTGTGTATGACCTGTACCTTCCAACACACGTAAGACACTCCAAAAAATTATGTAAATGCCTCTTCTCTTTGGGCTGTATGTTGATAATGATCAGGGTAAGAGTTGCGCTGTTTCAGAAGACAGGGTAAGAGAATGATAATTGTACACCAGCTAATAGAAACCCACTTTTCACATACTTTCATAGTTCTGTTAAAAGGCTTTTATCACATTTAGAATATAAATTTTAATGGTTTAATGTCAGCCAATTGTATGAAAATTACTAATTTTTTAATTGATTTATCCTGAACTTCTTAAGCAATAAAAGACACAATAATATCTACGTGAATTTAGGTGACTTTCACGATCTGCCATGGTGCTTTTCAGTCTTTCTAATGAGCTGATTAAATTATCACTGAATTGAGCTGAAATTGGGCCTGGATTACAAAGACAACTGTTGCAACATCCTTTAATCCACTGCAAGCATGTTGCTATTGCACCAATGAGTACCTCTAGCTAGAGGAGCCAGGTATGTGTGCACCCTTGAATAATCCAAATCTCTTCACCATGGAGCAAAGTTGCATTTGTTTCCCATGGTTTCAGATCCAGGCTCTGTGCAAAATGTCATTTGCCTTTCAGTCATGACTTTGCAAAACCCCAACTTCTAGAGTAAGTAAATTTGCTGATCTTATTGTTCAGTTGCCTGTGAAATCAGTCCTTAAATTGAAAAGAATTTTTACATTTTCCTCAAGGATTCTCTCATTAGATTGTCAAGAAGTTGGCATGAAGGTGTTGATTGCAGGTTGATGTGTACATACTGCATTGAGTAGCTGTCCATTGAGGAGATAGTGATAGCACTAAATTCCTGCTTAAACTCAGATAACAGAGAAGTAATTCCCCTGGAGAAGTGAATGACTGGCATGGGGCTATCCAATGTGAAGTTGGTGCTCTGGTTTTAATCTTGTTTTGTTTGCTTATTTTTAGCTGTTTTAGATAGTTCTTTTCAAAGCTGTTAGTTCCAAAAGTCAGGAAACCTGGGGGTTTTGGTCCAGCAAACTAGCAGGTTCCCATGGCTCCAGTCTGATGGGAGGTTCCTAGCAAGGAAACTTGTGTGCACATTTGAAAACCTCAAGTCAACAGAGCTCCACAGGGGCAGAGGGTTAGCTCATCCAGGTGCCACAGCCTCCTTGTATCCCAAGGCCATGTGTCCCAAAGTTATACTCAGAAGGTGTGAAATCTCATCCCAGATCTGCATCTTGCAGCCTGTGCCTTCAGCCCTTTTATTCTGTAATGTCTTTTTCTCCACCCTCAGCCCCACGTTTTCAAACCAAAGGAAACCCCACACCTACCTGCAAGCACCTGAGCACTCTGCTGCCCTGACAAGTGACAGCCTGCAAATCCTGTCAGACCTGTTTCTGATGGACACCATGTTTGAGAATGGCTGTTCAGTTTATTCTCTTAATTAAAAAATAACTTTCCTAGCTGTTCAGAACAAGCTGTTGAATCACCTGCTAAAAGCTTGTACTGTTTATTTCTGTGTTGTTTTTTTAAGGGACTTAATGTTTATTTTCTTAGAGGGTTTATTTAATCTGACAATCAGTAGCTTTGTTAACTATGCAATTACGAAAATTTCTCATTACTTTATAAATCTACGGGTTGGTGCCCCATACCATCCCTGGGAGCTGGTTGCTAAGCAAGGTGAATAATGACTTGTCAAAAAGATCATTAACATAATTGCCCAAGATGAGAAAGTTAAATAAAAAAGTGAACCTTCTTAGAGGCTTTAGATTTTCAACAGGCTGCAAATATAATTATGTACCTGATGAGAGAGAGTTCCCAGGCGACTGTCCTGAATATGTGGGGCACCTTTAAAACTGACTCCATCCGTGTGTGCTCTTCAACCAAAAGTTAGCATGTACTAAAAATATATTTTCCCTTCAGAGTCTTAGACCTGAATAAATCCACCGCTACGGCGGCTCTGTCTTTTTCGGTATTTTATTATTTTAAAGAGCATCTGCTAGAACTGGATAATCCTCTCGAGGAGCTTTGTGGTGGCAACAGACCAGACTTTTAACAGGCTGACTTTAGATACTCTTGCTTTCTGGTAGCCTCTTTTCCTGGCTCCCCACCTCTTTCTTCATCTCTTACCTGCTCCGGTCGCTCATGCGAGTCCCAAGGCAACGCATTAAAATTGCTCTGCGGCTCTGGATCCCCGTTCTAGTGTTACGGATAGTTGTTGCGGAGGCACGGAGTCAAGTGGTTGGCCTGGGTGTGTTCAGTTGGGCAAGTACAGCTTCAGTGCTTCTTTTACTGTTCATTGTGCCCTTACGGTGTGCATTAATGTTTGTGCTTGAAGAAAAAAAAAGATTTGTGTGTTGCTGGCTTGTGAAAATGATACAGGAGCTCGAGTCGTGTGCTTCCTAGAAAAATATTACTTGTAGTGGTTTAATTTACTATATAACATCCTTTTTTGAGTAGTGCTTTAGCAAGGAAATGCTTTGGGTTTGTTTTCTAAGGCTGTCCTCTTTTTCTTTTGAAAATGCTTTCATAAAACCCTACCTTCATGGTTGTATACTGAAGACTTTTTTTTCACTGGGGATGTGTTGGCTTCCGGGAGAGATTCTAGTGCATTGAACGGCTGTTAAAATAATTTGTAAGAGTGAAATGCACTGTTCCTGTGGCATGCAGAAAGTGTATGCTGAACAGCATTGAAATGGGGAACTGTTTATAGGAAAGGATGTGGGAAGGGAAGGACAGAAAGTGGCTTCTGTTTGAAAGGTCCAGGTAACTTTTCAACTTGCTGTAAATACTGTTTAGTTTACAGATTGTAGCTTGTGAGTGGGGATAGGGAAATATCATGGAAAGTGAAAGCACTGATTTCCTGGAATGTGGAAGTTTTTGTCCTTTCTCCATCTTCTGAACCAATTGTGAATTCAAATTTATTTCACCTTCTATATATATGATGCCAGTGTTTTGTGAGCGAGTAAGTAAATATTATTGTGTCTCAGTGGCTGCATGGCTTCTTGAAACCAATTAATAGGGGTAAATATAAGTGAAATACTGAACATTGATTTCTTTGCAAACCTACTGTCATATTCAGAGGGGTAAGGAGGGCAGAAAGCCTGTTTCAGAGGCTAGCTAGGAAACCCTACAGCCTTTCTGAACACAGGCGCTTCTTTCACTTTCCATGAGCCATGAACTAGTTCTGTTTATTGCTCTGCCAAGCTAGATTGGATTGATGTAGTCAGTGAAATTGCAGTCCATGTTCTGATATAAATCTTAGTAAAATATGATTCTAGATCCAGGGGACTATTCGCCCACATGCCATTATCATCCTCCCGAATACCAGCGGAATGGAGCTTTTACTCACCTATGAAGATGAAGGCATCTACATTGATATATATGGGCATTTCACAAAGGAGACTGTTTTACAGTGGGGAGAAATGCCAGCATCTGTAGGTACGTATGAAAAACAGCACTTTATTAAATATAAGATCCTGCTGCATGAAGCCTGACTTCTTTATGAGGTGTGTAACCATAAGGAAATGGTTGTGAGGCACATAAAGCAACTTTTGAGCAAACCAGATGTGTAAAGAGTAAACAAATTTATGTGTGTTTGTGTTAGGACAGCCAATGATTGCAATAGGTCTTCACATTTGGATCAGAGAGTTTGTATTCTTGTCACGCTGTTCATTGCATCACACCTTGCCTAAGGAGGCAGCCTGCCATCAGGCTGCAGAGAGAACTGCAGGAACTACCGAGGGAAGAAGGTGCTCTCAGTTGTTCAGAGTCTGTAAAACTTCTCAACTGTAGAGGTCAGTTACTGAGGAGGTCTGTAACTGCTGTCAAATAACCCCTTAATTTTATCACTGTAAATTCAGAGTGCTGCCATCCCAGGGTATTTCTAATAGATTCTCAATCTCTCTGTGCTTGCAGCTGGCTTTGTAGGATGAGATTCTGATTGTATTGTAGCCAGGACAGCTGTTTGTTTCACCTTCCCCAGAGGGCTTCAAGTTAACAGTGTGGGAGAAACCAAGAACAACACAGGCAGATTTTTGTTTTTATTATTTGTTGCTTTTAATTTCTTTCCTGGCTCACTCCTGTTATTCTGCATCTTAAACCAAACATACTAACACACAACAAAAGCCCAAGACACTTACATTGTAGAAAATCATATTATTACCCTGGCAGAAAATGGATGCCACAGTGAAAAAAATTAAGCATGTTCATCTTCCTCCTTTCACTTCTAGCTGGGTAGTTTCAGGAAGAGTCCATCAAAATCAGTAGAATAACACCCTTAAGTAAATGCCAGGTCTGACATTTGTAGAAGGTTTTCAACAGTACTGAGGGCAAGGAGCCCACCTCTGGAACACAAATCATTACAAGACAAATTACTTTTTGCACTGTTTTGATAAAATTTAGCAACAAAACTGCTTCAGTTTCAAAAAACAGGTACAAGGTTATAAGCTGACTGTGCAGTGTGTCCTTCCCTTCACTGAATAGCCCTGTATTCAATTTTCAGCCCATATTCAGAGCTACAGGGTGTAATTAAAATATATCCAGTCAATTCTCCCATTTTTTTCATAAGAATATCTAATGGTCTTTGCTATGTTGAAATTTTACATCCCCTCTGAGTTAATGTTAGAGACACAATAAGAAATAGTAATAAAAAAAACAGCTGCTTGGCCAGGGTAGTAAGGGTTCTAATGAGAAGTATTCAACATTACTGGATGCTGCACTGACAAATGCCACCTGAAGGAGACAGAAGCTTGCAAGAAGCATGTTGTTACAGGATGTGCTTCCTCAGGCATTACTAAAAGGCACAAACTTACTTAACATGGATGTTTTCTTCAAACTCTAATGTCCTGTCCACCTTTTGGTGTGCATATATATGATTTTCATAAATGTTTAGACTGGCCTTTGTTTTGCCACGTGTACTGCATTGTTTAGAACTCCTTTTTCTGCCTTGGGAAGAAACTTTTAAAATCAGATGCATTTATATAAGCATTCTGACAGAAATTAACCCTAATCTCACCATTTAATACTTTTTAAATCTTGGGTGTTACTTGTAACTATTAGAGGCTTTTCTAGTTTTATTATTCCTAGAGTCACTGTTACTGGACAGATACTGTGTTTCAAAGACAGCCGTGTATGAGGGTTTTCTTGCATCCTGCTTTAGCAAAGGGAATATTGCAAGAAGGGTCTAGTAGACCTATGACTCCTTGGAAAGTTTCTGTCACTGGGCATGATTGCTCTCAAAGCTTTTTCACTTAATCTAGATAGAGTTTAAGGGAACACTTCAGAAGTGAAGCCAAGAGAGCTTGAGTCCTTTCTCCTAGTGTTGCTGAAAGTACTGAATCATCATCACAGATTGGAGAGATGGTTTTGTAAAGCATTCTTGTAGACAGGAAATCACACTGCCTTAACTTCAGTAAAAATGTCCTTGCATGTAACCCAGCTGGCAGTGAAGTGAATAAAGCTTAACACTTTGGACCAGCTGAATATGTGATCCTTTGTGCCAGTTAATTACTCTGATTTAAAACATACTTTGGTATCCATCTGGCTAGGCATGATATTTTCACTTTCTCAAGGTTGATTACATCCTAATAGAAGGAAAAACATTTGGACATTTGCCTTTCCACGTGCTCATGCAGCTATTTCTCCTGTTCTTCAGCACAGCAGTATGATGATCATTTGCATGGAAAGCTATCAGCATGAAATTGCCAAAGCATTTTTTGCTACAGTATTTTAGGGCAGTTAAAAGGGAAGAGAATGGATAAGATACTTCTGCAGGTAGCATCCTGTCTGAATTTCACTATATAGAAGCTAGGAGTCTTGTCTATGTGAATAGTTTTCTCTGTAGTCAGTCTAGAGAAATGGGCACCACCAAATGGGAAGGTGGTGCCTATCCAGAGACAGGTAGCTAGGACAGGCATAATGAAACATTCTGCTGAGGAAGCAGAGGGTGAGTTACATGAAATGTTTTAGATGGTAAGGTCAGGAGAGCTGAGGAAACAGCTGGCACCTTGAAGAGCTTCTCCCAGTGCTCAGAAATCAAGAGGGTAGGTTTCCTCTGGAAGGAAAGGTGTTGGTATCCATCCATCCATGTCTTTGTTTGTGGTTCTGCAGATTCCTCAGCTAAAGGAAGGCTCCAGAAAGCCCCTCTCAGTTGTCATTTGAGAGTTTTCCAATGTTAGCTTGAGAACCCTTGCATTTCTGCTGCAGCACTTCTGGTATCTCAGAAGTGCATTTCTTTGGAACAGAAATAGTCTTTGTGATGTGGTACAGGATTAATTTGACTTCTGATTGGAATCACATTTCCACTAAAACCAAATTAACGAAACTTGTAACTCAACACACAATTTAAAACCAAGAGCTCTGTTAACTATTATTTTAATAATTGTTTCCCACTAGCTCCTATTAATTTTCTTGATTCTTTGAAATTCTTGGCTCCAGACAAAAAGCATTAATTATTATGAGAAGTATGAATAACTATGTTATTTGAATGGCCAAACTTAGGGGGAACTTGAAAATTTCATGAGATCCCATTTTCCTGGAATTTCCAGACATGTTACAGACCTCCTAGAGCGCTCTCTTGTCACCCTTAGCTCAGTTCCTGATTTCTTTGAACAATTATTTTGAAACAAAACTTCTGTAGCTGGTGAGAATATCTTGACTACAAACAATAAAAAGTTGTTTGTATTATAATGGATGCCTCAACCTACTCACCAGTTCTTGAAACAGTTGCTTTCCAACTCATGCATAGAAAATGCCTGCTCATATCCAAATGATTCCTGTTGGCCAGCTTTCCTGTGCCCTTTTGCCTCAGGAATCAGCAAAATGTCTCCATACAAGCAAACTGTCACCCCAGACACATTTCTAGGTTGGGTGATTAGTTCTACTAGAATATTTGTAAAGCAGTGAGTGACGACTGGGAGCAGAGAAGCTTTGGAACAGAGATGCATAGAAACATACATGTTAGGAAAAAAAATTAAAAAGGTTTAGTCATATGTAGTCCCAGCTTGTGTGGGGTGGTTAGGGGACTGCATGTGCTAGCCCCTTTGTCCAGTACAATCTAACCAAAACATACAGCAGAAAATCATCTGCCTTCCATCGCCAATTTTTTAATTTTTTACTTTATTCAGCCTTAAGGTTTCTCCCCTGCTTGATTTTGACTCTTTAGCCTCTCCCATTTACTGAAAGTTCTCCACAGCTGTGACTGGAGGAAGAAAAATTGCCTCTACATAACTAACGGCAGCGAAACTATTTTAAAAGAATTGCACAAGAGAAGTTATCATCTTCTTCCTCAGTTTTCCTACTCAAAATTGCTTAACTTTGGGGGCAGTATATCCCACATGACTGAGATGCTGGGGAAGAATTCTCTTGCTCTCAGCTCTAGTGGTAGGGAAGCCTTCAATGTGCACAAAGAATAACTGAAAGGGAAGTCTACTAAACAGATTCGGAGAAAATTCATGGAACTAAAACCAAAAAACACTGTAGCCAAACCACATATGTTTCCCAGGAGATATAATTTTCACACACTTGTTCTGAAAATAATTATAAATGAACATTACACCAAATGAATCATGCCACAGTCTCAAGATTCAAAAGTATTCAGGTTTCAGACTAAGCTGAACTCCCCAGTAAATACAAACCCAACTTTCTAATGGGAGGGTATAGATAAGACAGTCAAGACTTTTCTTGGACATGAAGAGTGAAAGGATGAGAGGCAAAGTGGGCATAATTTGCACCAAGAGAAGTTCCAGTTTAGTATTAGAAAGACATTTTAAACCTTGATAGTCATGATGCGTTGCAGAAGGGCCTCAGAGAGGTTGTGAAATATCCATTAAAACATGTCTGGACAAGGTCCTGAGTAACCTTGTCTGCTTTAGTCTTGCTTTGGGGGGCAGGGGTTAAACAAGATACCCTTCAGAGGGTTCCTCCAACCTTTAGTAATTCTAAAATACACAACAGTAGCATATTAAAGATTTATATCTAGAGTCCAAAATAAGCCTGACAGGAGAAAGTGAAATTTAGTTACTGTTCCCAAGGCTTTTTGTGTAAACTTAAAATACAAATAATTCAGAATATATTGTTATCAAAGAGAAACGCTTCAGATTCATCTTGACATAAATGAGGCAAGAATCAGTCCTTCAGCTGTTAAACAGTGTAAAATATCTTTACTTCTCTTGTTTTTTTAGCTTATCTTCAATCTAATCAGGTCATGGGCTGGGGAGAGAAGGCGATTGAACTACGCTCTGTGGAAACAGGAAATCTGGAAGGAGTATTTATGCATAAGAAAGCACAGAAGCTGAAATTTCTATGTGAAAGAAATGACAAGGTACAGAAATTAAGACACTGGTTTTTTTTTACCTTAGTATAACTTCCCCATTCAAAGCAGAAGTAGTCACTGACCCCACAAAGCACATGCTATGGATATGCCACACTTTCACACCAGCCTGCTTTAGCCAGCTCTTTCAGCTCCTACTGCATCCAGCCTTAACTGCTGCCAGAGGTGGCAACAAACACAGACATTGCCAGCTGGCCAGACTCCAGCACGACTGGTGTAGAGGGGAGGGCTGCTGAGCCAGCCATGATAATGCCTAACTCCAGGATGGCCTCTCCTGAGCTACTGAAATTACATGCAATTCAAAGCAGCCATCATGGAAAATAAACCAAACAACTCAATGCTCAAATATTTGAGATTTTGCAGACACTAGAGCACAGATAATCAAGTATTGTTTCTCACATACTGCTGTGCTTGATAAATGTTGTGACGCCAGCTTAGTCCCAGTGACACACTTAGAAAACTGGGGCCCCGAAACTACTTAGATTAGTTATTTTTAAATGGTCTCTTGTGTCTGTCCAAATAGGAAAAGAAATATATATATGTATAAAGTAAGAAAAAAATCCCTGTTGTATCACAAGAATGGTTTCACTTCCAAAAGTTTGTCATGGGATTAAAAATTGATTTCTGACATACATATGTTCTTGTATTTGGGACTGTGGCATTCTCAGATTTCCCGTATTGGTAAATATATTCTCATAAATGTAAACTGACAGTAACATGTTGTTTGTTTGTTTGTTTTTCCTTTCAAGGTGTTCTTTGCATCTGTACAGTCAGGAGGCAGCAGTCAAATATACTTTATGACTCTTGGTCAAAATGTATTATTCAACTGGTAAATCACATAAAAATGAAGGATGCTTTGAAATTCCCTGTAGGTATCAGTGTAAAATGCTTGGGGGTAATATACACGAATTTGCACTTTTTACCTACAAAAATGTTGTTATTATTAACTTATCAAAATCCATATTCTTTCCATTTGAAAATAATGCTATTTTCCTGTCAAAGTATTGTGAACATGTTTAGTTTGTCTTTTAAAATATGTTGCAAACCAAGATTGTATTCACAGTGTTAGAACAACTTTAATGAAGAATGTAGCCAATATTAGAAGCTCCTGTACTCTGAAAAGTGCACAGTTTCATTTTCACAGATGATGTAATGTTGTTATCTTGAATTGAAGTCTCTTTTTTGGACAGCAGCATCTGTAGGTAGATATAAAAACCCAAACAAGTTGGGTAGCAAATTTGAATCTACTTTATTTTTAATTGGGTTTTGGCTGGTTTTGCATTTTAAGCAAGCTGTTACTGTTTCACTGAGACTCACTTGTCCAGATGTTCTAGCCGAAGAGCAATGGGTTCATGATGGGGCCTAACATGGATGGGGACGCTTGAGGGATTGTCTCCTGTGCTGGGCAGGCAGATGCATTCCACTGCAGAGCTGTAAAAGCAACTATTTCTAGATGTGCCCCAGCTGGTAGATTTTACAAAACGCAGGGGACAGACTTCCATGTTTCTCTCAGGGCTGGATGCCTGAGCCCGAAGACACAGTTACTGTAGAATGTATTTGTAAAAATAGTTTAAATAGTAGTTTGTCAAAATCATATATGCAAAAAGCATTCCAGACCTGAACATGTAACTTTATTCAAACACAAGACCCACGCTCATATATGAGTTGATTTAAAGGCACTACCCACGTATAGAAGGGCACAGGATCAGGCACCTTCCTCCCTTCTTGCTCTTTCAGCATCAAGTTTTCATGTATTTGTAAATATAATCTTTCCACAATGGATGTTAAGATTAACAAATGTATTCTTACTATTGTTACAAAAATATCCAAAGAGTTAATCTATTATAAATAGAAAATATAAATAATTTCAGGTGCTTTCTATGCTAATTACATCTAAATAAAGCCGCATCCACTAGTGTTACTGGTGCCAGTGTTTCTGCATAAACTCTGTTCTCAGGGGCTTGTAACTTGGCCATAAAACTATATAGATATAATATATATATGTATACTATATATAATAATATACTATTATTAAATTGTAGGGTTTAATGCAATCCTCATTTAGCTGATTTTTGGATGTGCTTTGAAAATGTAAAGCATCGAATATAATACAAAAAAATCTCATTCCAGCCATGATACAGTATGGAGGACACTGTAGGCAAAAGTGAAATCATTAGCTACAGTGTTTGAAAATAGATATTTTTTACTTGAAATATGCGATACTGAAAGGTGCAGGAAAAGTGTTTTGGAATATCTGGTCGTCTACCTCAAGGATAATAATTCAAAGTTGACAAAGGGGAGAAATAAAGTTGTTAGAACTGGTAACTGTTTTGTACAGTATGTCAGGTGATATTAGTGTTAGCAGTCATGCTGTGACTGGCAGGTGCTCAGAATGCAACCATCAGCTCCAGAACTGGTATCCTCATATATGTCAGCAGAGAATCAAACTAGTGACTAATCACCTTTTTTTTTCCCCCCCTTCCCTGTGCTGGCATCTCAGCTGCTGCAGGCAGACCAGAGATGCATACACTGTTGCTGTCTAGGTGCTTTGGCTGTGCGGAAGACTGTACTTTCCAAAGTTATTAACCTAGCACTTTTCATTAGCAATAGCTTATCTCAAAATGGAAAGTGTTTTTTATGAAGTGTTTTCCTTTAAAATGTTTTAACTTAGAGAAAAAAATAGAAAAATAAGTCTAAGGCCATACTAAAAAAAATCTCCAGTTAAATACTCAAAGTGGTTCTTACTGTACACAGATAATCAGCTTGTGTGCAGACTTTAAATCTGACTGGTATCTTGTGCTGGGGTGGAGCTGTGTGAGAACAGGAGGTCTCTGTCTATTTGTAGGGATGTTCCTACCTGTTGCCAATGCTAGGATTGCTGCAAATGAGCAAAACATTACTTGGCTTCCTGTGATTCTGATCACTGGGCTTGTTTTGTTCAACTTTCAGAAAAACAAAACAAAAAACCCCAAACAAACACAAACCTGGAACAGGAACAGAGATGAAAGTTACAATTGTAGGCAAAAATATTTTGCAGACAATCAGAAATACAAATTACTTGCTTTTGACTTAAAAAGCCTAAGAGACTGTGAAGAACAGCTTTCATTTTGTACCCTGTTGGTGTGCAAAACTTGCTTATGCTATAAGCAATCAGTGATCCAGGCTGCCCTATAATACTTGTTTAAAGTGTGTTTATCTCAGCAGCCTCTGGATTACATGGGATGCATGTGAATTTTTTCCCTCTCCCATTTTGGTGTCAACAGGTAGGAGGCAGATTTTCCCTGATGTTAGGCACTAGTTAAAGAGAACTTAGCAGAGAAGAGTGGGAATTTAGAACCACCCGTATCAACAGATTAAAAAGCAAGTGTAAACAAACTTGTTTAATACTATTGTAACAGAGAAGTGTGACAGTAAGTCACTGTAAAGATGTTTAGTTCCATACCAAGAGGGGTGAAAAAAAAAGTTCAAGAGAAGGAATGTGCCCTATTACATTGGTAGTTCAATTTTTAATTGTTTCCTTCTATTAGCACTCTTTTTTCCCCAGCTATGATTCAAGGCAGTTAATTGGATTTTCACTTGTCACTTTGTGAAAAAACATTGGAATGACTGGGGTTATATTGGTGGGTAAATATAGAAAGAATGAAGCCCTTAGAGGTAAATACTTTTAAAGGATTGAGAAGTGGTACAGCAAATAGCACCTGGATGAAACAAGAAGACTGTGGCATTTTCTCTTTATTAAGAGAAAGTCAGAAGATGGTTGAAGATGGAAAGAGCCTAGAGGTATTGAGAAGAGTAACAGAAGAGAGTGGAAGTGACTGAAAGAGGAGGGAAAAGCTGAAGAAAATAAATAGGAATAGCCAAAGGGGAGGGAGTGGATGTCTGCAACAGTGTATTGCTGTAGGAGGAGTAAAAATGCTTTATGAGATGTTAAGGAAAAGAAAGTAACCAAAGAAACGGAAAGGTATCTGAAGTGGCAGAGTGGTCTGAACACTGAGTGAGAGTGTTCTGAAAAACTGTTCAGCTCAAAGCAAAAGTTAAAAGGCTAGAAGGAAAAAATTAATTCCAGAGACCCAAGTTTATCCTGACAGAAACTTAGCTATGCAAAAGGTGCAACAGATTTGTAGTTTCATTTTGTGAGGTGTTTCTCTAGCTGTACCCTTTCCCTAATGTTAAGACCAAGGAGTGAACTGCTTCACAGTGTGTTTTTCTAGTGATGTCACTTTGACGTGAACAAATGCTATAGGGACAGAAGGGCAGAAGGTTAAGGATCCATGTCTATAATCCCTTGGTACATACAGTATCCTAATGTCACATTTGCCAAACAAGACTGCACTGATACTGCAGCAAGACAGTGTTGTATGTGCCTGCATTCATTTTAGGAATTTTCTATTCTGCAGCCTGAACCTTGACACATGCCTTCAAAACCTGGGAACAACGCAAGCTATGTACTGTACATTATGTATTGTTCCCTAATGTTGAAATTGTACAGCTGAAATGGTAATAAAATATTCTGAAAAATCAAAACTAGTATTGTGATTGTTGATTCTGTTATAGTGGCATAAGCTGTAGTAAAAATCATAGAAAGCTTTGTGGTTGTTTTTTTCAAATCCAGTCAGTATCCCTAAGGAAACAGGCACATTTGGCTACATAGACAAAATGAATACATCTCCCTGCAGTGGATAAAGATGTTGAGGTGACAGTGTGAGAGTTCAGCCTAGACAGAGTGCTGGTAAGGGTGACAGCCAGCACCATGCTGTGTGTTTTGCTAATGAGCTTCACATTTGAGTTTCTGTGCTTCCACCTTTCTCTTCACACAAGCACCCAGTGGGATGAGGGCAGTGGAACTGGAGGGCAGTGGAACTGGAGTGCAGTGACAGTCTGCAGTCAGTGACACAGCAAGAGCTGACTCTTACTTCTGTGTACCAGCCTGAGTGCCAGGTTAGCCCAATTCACTTTTCTCAGGTATGCACATGCAGGCTTTGCTCCACATATAAAATTAATTGCTCTACAAAACATGAGGTGTGATAGCACATTTTAACTGTACCACTTAAGAGTAAGAATCAGGGAATTTGCCATTTATGCCAGTGTTGGGAGTTGGAAAGGGTAAGACTGTGAGGCAAGACTTCTCTTAATTTTTTTAAATTAAGAGTATTTTTCATCAATGTTTTATCTCTTTTAAGCTAGCAGAGCAAGCTGTTTCCAGTATTTGATGTATGGAGCGGGAGCTGTATCATAAGTTTAATGGTATAATAGTTGCTTGATTAGTAGATGGTTTAGTTCTGCCAGTCATTATTGTTCTTCCCACCAAAAGTTATTTCTAAGATCCAGGGGTACAGTACACCTGGATTATTCCACACCAGCTTCTTCAAACAAGTTTCACTCCCCAGGACAACAGGAAAAAATATCAGGCTTGAGTCCAGTACAATTCTGTCTGTTATACAGGAGATTTTATCTCACTTTTAATTGCTTACCCCCTTTAAAATCAGGAATAACTAGTCAGTAGAGAAAAGCAAGAATTCTGGCTTCCTGCTTTACTTGTGATTCAGTTCTGCACTGATGACTCTTATGAAAAAAAAGTGCAGTGAATAATAGCTGCATTATTAGTGGATTGTAAAATATCACTAATGTGGAAAAAACTTGCCTATAAATAAAAAGTATTGTTTTCTAGAACCAGCATGAAAAAATCTTGCACCCAGTCCCATATATGTGAAAAGAACTGCAGGTGAGGATCCAAGGGTTTACACTTTTGAAGTGATCCTTTGTTGTTTCCGATTGTAGATGTGTGTTACCTTGCCAAAGGTGAGTAATATGTACAGTGAGAAATGCTGATCGTCTTAAGTTTCCCCCTGCTTCAAAGCAGGATACAGTTTCCATCTTTTATATCAGTGATTACTAGTTAATTTTCTCATCCTCTCTCCCCTACTCCCAATCCTAACTTCAGCCAAGATGCTTCTACAGTTTCCAGGAAAAATGGTAGGGACAGTATTTGCCTTGTCCATGTTTGTTTTTACAAAAAGAAGGAAACAAACTTCTCCCATCACAAGATAAAAAAACAAACAAACAGTTCTGGGGCCAGGTAACATAGCCCAGCCAAAAAACAGCACTACAGGTGGTATGGGATAGGAAATTGCAGTCTGCAGGCAAAGTAAAACTGGAAAAAAAGCCCAGAGATGAGAGCACATAAAGGCAATTCCAAATCTAACCTATGCTTACTAGGTATGGGGATCAATACACCCCGTCTAGACAAGTACTAAAATGTTATTTGTATTTTTATCTGACTTATATGCTAAGCTCAATCCCTACAGCAGATGCTATAAAGAATACTAGAGGAAGTGTTGCATGGGCTAGTAATCAAAATTTTCTCCCCCACCCCTTGCTCATGGCACTGACTGACATGCAAGTGGGCTGCAAACCCATTTAATCAGTGGTGTGCCAGCAGTCAAGAGTAGTTATCTCATCTTACCCTTAAAAATAGGAATATTCTGTGGTAAATATTGACTAAATAAAAAGCAAGTGTAGCCCAACTAAGGCACTCATTTGTGTGACTACTAAGTAAAATTAAAACTTATTTGAAATAAGTCTTTTCCTCATCATTCTATCTCATGATCTGCTCCCCGTCCTGACTTCTTCAATTAAAATACTATTTAGAAAACAGAAAGTTGCAAATTGCTAGAAGACAAACCCACTTGGAGACACAGGACCGTCCATATTGATTAATTTGCTTCTGGCATATGAGCAAATCATGGAAGAGGTGCATACTGGACTCCAGAAGAACAACTTTCTGATGTCAACAGGTAAGGTTAGGCCTCAACTTGCCCTTTCTTAAGGTAGCAGCCAGGATCAAGCTCACACATTATTTAGTCCCTTCCTCCTCCACACTCACTTCATTCCAGCCCTATCTGCTTCTTAGCCTGCATCTTTTTTCTGCTGCATATTCTGTAACAGTATATTGGTGCCAAAAGGCAATAGTGAGAGGGCCAATAGATTTTTACCTAACACAAGAAAGCAACCATTTATTTAGAATCTGCAAGGTAGCAAAAAAAAAGGCCAAAAAGCAGAGGCATTCATTAGCAGGCACTGATAAGGAACATAGGGAATTCCTCTCTCCCTGGCAGGTACTGCCTCACCCTTAAGAACACCTCAAACTTAATGTGACTTGACAGTAGAAGTGCCCTGATTAAACTGACTAGCCACCCTGCACCTAAAAGCATAGCTGTAACAATTTGTATCTTACCACCACAAAACAAACATCTGCAAACTAAAACAATGCCAGTCCAAAGTGAAAACATTTGTGGTTTTGTCTCATCATGGGAAAAACTAAAATATTTTCTTTAATTTGCAACTCTTTGCCAAACAGTAGAGCAAGGCAATAAGATCCAGCTACACACAATGGAGTTACATAATGTATCAAACAAACTAAATAGCTTTGTATTACCTATTGCTACTGGAGCTCCAATGAAATTGCATTTTAATTTTAGTTTTGTTTTATATTTAAAAGTAGTTTGTTTCATGGTACCAAATTGCTCTTGGAATGAAATTGTTTCTCCAAAGACTATAATAACTAGCTTACAAGTCCAGGGCTACATTTAGGTGGCTGTATTTAAGTTAAATGAAACATGAGCAAACCAGCAGTCTATATAAATGTTTTCTGTAGAGTCTAAAATCTGAACAATCACAGACTGGTTTGGGTTGGAAGGGACCTTAAAGATCATCTAGTTTCAACCCCCCTGACATGGGCAGGGACACCTCCTACTAGACCAGGTTACTTCAAGCCGCATCCAGCCTGGCATTGAGCACTTCAGGGATGGGGCATCCACAGCTTCCCTGGACAACCTGTGCCAGTGTCCCACTACCCTCACAGAGAAGAATAATAGAGGACAAAAGCAATAACATTCAAAGTTCCACATTAAAAAAGTTTAATAAATCTTTGTGATGATAGCCCACCACTTTCTTAAACTGCTCTTCAAAGTGTGTAGAGCTGATTAAAGGGCAAGAGGATGTCTGCTGGGTAATCACCTGGAATGTTACTTTCCCATTATTTAATAACTTCCTGTTATTTTCTAGGTAGATTTAACAAAAACACCAAGGAAATAATAGTGAAATATATTAGAAAGGCTCTTCCACTTCTGTCCTCAAAACATTTTGTGGCAAACAATTGTGCTTTACAAGAAGTATCATGATCTTGCACAATAGCTCATTTTTTTAAAATCTGGATCATCACCTTTTATTCTTCTGTGCCTTTTCTTTCTCTAACATACACTAAATGTACTGTTTAACAGAATGTAATCATGTCCTACTACTCAGTGTAGCCTCTTCCTCACTGGCACTGCTATAGAGGCTAACTCTTGTTTTTCTTAAGGTTTGTTGCACACAAAAGCTGAAATACTTGGCTGCTAATTATGTCTGAGAATTTGAGACTATTGATTCACCAGAGGTCAACACTGGTACATTCCAAGACACTTAGTCATAGGTCTGTGACAAATTATAGTCTTCAATGAGCTGCTTACATGCCTCAGTGGAACAGGTGCAACATAACAGTGAGCTCTTGGGTTTTGTGATTCTGATGCAGCCCCTCTGCAGATCGATCATCACCCTTCATTACTGAGTCTTCAGGTGTTTCTGAACCTCCAGTTTCTAATGCAATCACATGTATCCCACCATCAGGTATGGCAGGGAAATCACCTCTAGAGGAACTGACAGACAAACTGTCAAAAAACATGCTGTTGATATGCTGTCAGCAAGTGATCAACCCTGTTCCACTTTTGAAATGGGTATATTAGCTGGACCTCTGCTGGTGAGAAAGAACGTAACAGGAGCACATTCCCAAGAGAGGGAACTACCTTGTATCTGAAACTGCAATGCATACAAATTTACCCAAAATTATAAACTATTAACTGTATTATCAGTCCATTAGCACTCCACAAAAGCTACAGCTTCAGAGTTTTCATGACTGAAAACACAGTGACATAAACTAATAAAAAAATGTTGACAACAGATATAACAACTACCTCTGCTATAAAATCACAGAATCACAGAATCCTAGGGGTTGGAAGGGACCTTGAAAGCTCATCTAGTCCAACCCCCCTGCCAGAGCAGGGTCACCCAGAGTACATCACACAGGAACGCATCCAGCTGGGGTTTGAATGTCTCCAGTGAAGGAGACTCCACAACCTCTCTGGGCAGCCTGTCTCAGGGCTCTGTCACTCTCACAGTAAAAAAAAAAATGTTTCTGATATTCACATTGAATCTCAAAAAACCAAATACCTTTTTTCTGCAAGTCACATCATGAGCACAGACAGAAGTGGAGAGAAGCCTACAGATTAATTTTACTAGCTGAAAAAGAAGTCTACAACACAACCCTCCAGATAAGGGTTGCATGTGATGTGAAAACACATTCTGTGCAACCTCAGTAAAAAGGTATTTGAGTCATGTTCACTTTTTAAAATTGTAAATGCCATCTTATCAGACCACACAACAGGTAATGTGTTTACTGGAGAAAAAAAAAAAAAAAGACACCACACAGAAGTTTGACTCAATACCCTGGCTTTAACAGAAATGTCAAGATTAACATTATTTTTTACTTTTCTCACTACGGATTGCACTGTTACATAAAAATCCATAAATTCATACCATTCCTCGGGCAGTCCAAAGGCCTAGGTTTTATATCCCCTTGACTAGTTTTTCAGTCTGTTTTAAATGGTTAAGCAAAAAGTTTTCCCATTTCCCTAAAGTAAATGCTCCAGAATGGCAGAGGCAGTAGAGTAAGAATACAATTATTCTCAAACTGTGAGCTCAGAAAACTGCTTCTGGCCCTTGGCATGCAGCAACTCTGCCTAAACTGCAGCCCTGCTTTGGTATTCTGGATTTTCAGAGGCTATCAGGACCAGTGACACTAGAAATACTGGAAACTGCTTCTCTTCTTCCTCTTCCTGCTCCTTTATCTTTACCCCTCTGTCCTGCTGCTTTACAGCCTAATGTTTTCTCTGATAGAAGAAAATACATATATGAGCAGATGCTAATAAAGTATTAAATACAAAGTTCTAATCCCCAGAAGTTTAATACCTTAAGTGACCTTGGTGTCATAAAAAAGGAGGATCTTGATAATAGCAGAGGAATGAGAATTAATAAAGTAAGGTCAAGGGAGCACTAGCAAGAATTTAATAGATGGCAGCTAAACCATTGTTGTTGGAAACAACAGCAGAGAATGACCCAGGTGACTTTTTCAACCAGGACTATTGCGATTACCAACACGTGCAACTATGAAACGGATAAATCCAATTAGACATCTCAGTAACAACTAGGCACAGGTTCGTCTTGAGGGAGAAGCAGTAAGAAAGGTGGAGTCTCCCTCTCTGGAGACATTCAGAACCTGCCTGGACATGTTCCTGTGTGATGTGCTCTGGGTGACCCTGCTCTGGCAGGGGGGTTGGACTGGGTGATCTTTTGAGGTCCCTTCCAACCCCCAGGATTCTGTGATGAGACTCATGACGCAGTTTAATCACAAGGGAACGAGGAGCAGGTGCAGCACAGAGGCTGGGTCGGGGGAAGGCGCTCGCAGGTAGCGGGAGGCCGGCAGGGCCCCCGGGGCAGCGGGACCGGGCTGCAGGCGGGCAGCGGAGCGCGGCCCCGCCCCACTTCCTAACGAGCAAGCCCGGCGGAGGAGCCGCCCCCGGGGCGGGGGTTTCCCAAGGCGTCTCCCCGGCCCCCGGTGG